CAGGAGTTAAAAATCTACCTGTTGAACATGACTGGGGAAGGATAAAGGAACAAAACTGCATCAATTTTGGACAACCACCCAGCTCATCCAAATTTAAACTTACAGTACACTGAATCAGTTTCTCTACCTCAAAGCATTACATTTCTGATTCAGTCCCTTGACCTCAGAATTAAAAGGACCTTAAAACATTTTACAGATCAAATGTGAGGCAAGGAATCATGCACTCTATATGTGATGCTTTGGAACGTCATCAGACACCACAAGATAGATAATGATCCTACACACACTTCATATGATAATAAGAGCCTGAAATGAAGTTATTGGCATCTACACTATCAACTGCTTTAGACATATAGGATTAATGTGCTGTCACAAAGTTCAGCAGTGTCACATCAAAACTTCGTGACATGAGTGAATAGGAGTTTAACGAATGGGTGAATACCAATCACGACTGTCGAGTTGGTACAGACTTGATAGATGAAGAGACTGCTCAGCCTGTCACCAACAATGACGCCAAGCAGGAGGGCAATGGGGAAACAGATTAATTTTGACTTATTTGCAATGTCACACATTCAATTTGTACATGATATTACAATTTCATAAGTAAATACTGACAACATTTTTCCATCCTGCATTATTCTAACGATTTTCTGTAACAGAACTGCTGTTTCATAGAATCTGATCATAATAACTGGCCCCACAGCTACGTGCAGGTTCTCAACAAGCAATACATACGTGACCAGGTTCAAGCCTGAGCAATCCAAAATAATATTTCTTTGCATGAACAGAGGTCACTTCAGTGAGAATCTGTTGTACTGTGCAGTCACTCTCCTCAGCATCCTCCTGTTCTGGGCTGAGATGGCTGTAGCCAACAAAAAGGAACAGTTTCAGCAGAAGTCTTTCCTCGATGGTAATGGACAGGTTCTTCATTGTTACGATCAGATGCTGCAATAGAAAGTGTTTGTCTCCATAGAGTAAACCATCAGTAACCTATTTACAGTGAATCCAGAATAAAACACGTATGTGAAATTAAATATTCTGTTCACAGTTGAGTACATACTTCAAAAGACACATGGGATTTAGGAGCAAGAGGGATTAGAGCAAGCGGGCGTTCAGACTCTGTTGAGGGCAGCTGGAGAGACCGAAACTATGCAAGAAAATATCTAAGACTGGCATCAGCTGGATGAAGGAGACCCTGAATTTTGGCTTCTGACAGAGGAAGAAATTGCTGCAGTGATATTCTTTAATTTATTTTCATCAGCACTACCTGTATTATTAAATTTTCCATTTCTTTATTTTATAAGAGTTTTTTTTTTTCTTTTAGGGCTTTTTTGCTCCATTAATCCAGATGACCCATTCCCCCAGTTAATCTGGATTAGCAAGGGTTTATTGTACTGACAATAATATTCTGAAAATATCTTTGGACGCTAGAAGGTGAGTGGAATTCCTCCAAGTGTCCAAGTATTAACACTGTATGCCATCCTAAAGAACACAAATTAGGAACAATCAAAAACTGGATACACAAACTCCTCATGTTACCCCTCAATAAAAACAGTAAATAGAAAGAATTGAACTCTATAATAAAAATAGCACTAGATAATGGATACAAGAAGAATGACCTTTTTATCTTGTATAATCGGCTGAAACATGAGCAAAATAATAAAGGAAAGAACACTGAAGATGATAAAAAATGGGTCAATTCACCTACACTGGAAATTACAGACATAAAATCACAAAGGTGTTT